CAAGTTTTAATTCTACTTTAAGAGAAATTACATTTTCGTTTTTTTTTATTGTTACATACTTTGAGCAGATATTTGATCTTGGCGATAGTCTCTCAATTTAGATAGGCCATGATCGAAGGAATTATATTTATAATTAAATTTTAGCCAAAGAATCAAAGTGCCATCAAACAAGCTCATCTCATTGTACATTTAATTAATGTAAAATTAAAAATTACGCTGTTATATATATCCATTTAATTTCTGTAATATAATATTAATTAAAATATTGTAATTAAAAATATAGACATGTTCAATATATTAATATTTAATTTTGATGTTAATACTGAAGTTAATACAGTATTAATACTCGTACCTTGTTTTGCATGTCAAAGTAGAAAAGGATATACAAGATACGCTGTCAATCACGAAATTTCGAGGTTCTTGAACAAGAAACGCGGATGGAAATGATTTTACAGAACGTGTATATATCATCACGATGAAGAGTTCTAGCCGCAATTTCGTGGTGGTACGATACTTATGACTGTCGGACTATTCTCTATGAGAAGAACACTCAACAGAGGGTCGAATCGGCCCTCTCGAAAGTCGTCGCGCTACTCGGTCGTAGTCTCGTACTCCCGATGCCGTTCTATGGTTTTGCTCCGTCGAATGCACTCGTGATTGTGCACTTGCGCGACAGGTAACGCAGTTGGAGAATTGCGCTTTCCGCCCGAATAAATTTCGCGAGCGCTATTAAGCCGTTCTCCTCGGCAGGATCGAAATTACACGTTTCGAGAGATGTAGTTTAGCTATGTGTTGTAAAGGCGGAAACGACGAGTGCACTTTCACTTATACGAATGGTACTTCCGTACATCGTATTCGTTTTGCTTGCGAATAACAGACGCTTATCGCATCCAATCCGTTTGATCCATTTCGAATCGAGTACCTCTTCCTCCCAATCAATGCTTTACAAAGCAATCGTCGAGACTGGTATGCGATCGTGTACGTGGCTTTGGTATTCCGATTCCGTTTCCGAGATCTCTTAGATCAGATTCATCATTATCGTCGATTACCGTGTATCGATCCGTACACGGTATTCTTATATATATAATTGCTTTTTAGCAAAGAATTCAATTTAGAGCTTCTTAGCAAGAATTTCATTATACGTTTCGTTTCGATATTTTCTAATCAAGCGCCCTTTTTCTATGATATCGAAAATACCGATACGTTTCCTTTATATACTGTACTGATACTTAAGGCCACCTATTTGCCACGGTCTCTGAGAGAATCAGTATTTATTCCGATGAATTAAATGGCTAGGAAACATTGTATCGATATCTTCAATTACAAAAAAGTCCTTTGAATAAAATACTTTGTGAGCACCTGATATATACATAATATAGCGACGAATTACGAGGGTACTTTAGCAATCACTTTCTTAAAAACAACAGAGAATATTCCGTTTCATTATAAATAGCAGCTACGTACAATCCACGTCTCTATTAGAAATAACAACCACGTGCAATCTTACATTCCTACCAGTAGAAAAAACTGGTCACAAAGTTTCCTAAATAGTAATAGTCGGGCACAATCTAGCAGTAACAGTTCAGTAATGTGATCGCGTTTTAGTCAGTCACGTCGCAGTATCGCGTTGCAAGTAGTAATAGTCGACAACAATCGACCATTTTTAGTAATAATGACTAAAGTCAGACGCGCTGTTACATTGATTTTTTGACCACAATTCACACACAATTCACACACTGTAAAAGATCTGTTACATAGTTCTTTTCTGTTGAATTCGAGTTATGTTCGCATAATAAGTTCGATAAGTGAAAAATTCTCTTAATCGGTACTGTCCAATGATCAATTAAGGGAATATATCGTTCAAAATCTGGATTCTGTAGTGGCCTTTTCCGAGTCCATAAAGGTCACTCGCTTTGTCCGCGCGTTGCCCTCTGGGGGCAACCCCTAATGCTATACGGATATTTCTTGTATCTGCACGCGTTTCTTGATAGTGTTGGTGCTACCGGCAGTGGTGAGTGAACTGGTGGTCCTGGCGGGCGGTTTCGGAGGGATCGCGTCCTTGTGGACGTTGGTCCCATGACCGGATCTCGATTCTTTCCTCAATTGCTCGCTGTCCTGACACTCCTGGGACGGCGCGAACTGCTGCTGTTCCTGAATGGAAGGGCTTCTCGCGAGAGTTGTATATGAAGGGGGTGGTTCTTGAGCGGGTCGCGGATTGTCGGAGGGTTTTATAGACGTCCTGGTGGTCATCGGCAGAGACTCCTGTCCATTCGGCCTACAATCCATGGCGGCACGTTTCTTGTCGCGATCCCGCTGATAATAAATGCCAGCGAAGATCAACATATTCAGAACCAGAAGGATGCAACCGACACCCACAGTGATCCCCAGGGCAGTGGTCGTGCTGTAGTAATGTCGAGACGCTAGTCTCTGTAGCAGCTCGGCATCGTCCTCGGAATCATCCAAAATCGGAGTAATATCCTCGATAAGGCTATCTTCACCTCCCGTAGATGTGCTGCAGGCGGTGGTTGAGGAAGAACTCGTCCGAGTCGTGCCTGTTAGCGGCAGTGGCGTGTACCATTCGTCCCGGACTGGTCCTGAATAATAATAAAGTAAGGAATAATTAAGTGATACATCTTAAACAAAAGAAATAAGAATTTAAACTTTCACTTCTTTCGCATAAGATATGATCTTACCTGCATAATAATGATCGCCTCGTTCCCGGAAGTGATGATGTCGCATTGAAACGTCATCGTCGCCAGGGCGATGGAGCTGAGGTATCAAATTAAGCCATACAGCCATTTTATGGCCGCGATAATGGCTCTTCATCTTCGGTTTCAACGCTAAAATAAAATGTTAATGATTAAAAATGCCTCTTTTTCGATAATTATTTGTTACCATTGATTATAAAGATAGTTATCACATATTAATCATTCTTAAATGTGTACAAACTGAGCAACATATTGTTATGAATAATTATTAATAACAAATTAATAATAATATAATAATTCGATAATTTATAATTATGCATTAAAGGAATATCTACGTAATTATCATCAAGAAATAATTTCATATTTCATTTAAAAGGATTTCATTGCGCACGCACAATTAAATTTTTCAAAGAAATTTCAAAGGGAACGCGTCGAGGCGGACAAAGTCCACTGTACACAATCAAAATTCTGAAGGAACTTTTCAGAGAATTTAAAAAGATCGCGACGTTCCACGAGAAATGTCACGATCCTTTTAAAGAAACCGAGGATGGAAGAAGACGCTTTGTAGAAAATTAAATTTATCGAAAAATAACGGTGGAACTACTTCTTCTCTTCTTGCAGTCTCAAGCGCAACATACCTATCGTGAGATACTGCTGAGATCCTGTCTCATATTGTTCCCATGTGAGACCGCGGAATCGCGTCTTCTCCTTCGGCGTGCCATAGTCGACCGACTCGATCTTGTGCGGTTCGTTCGGGTTTCCAGTTTTGGCGAAATTGGTGAAGAAGGTGAGTACGGCCTCCGCAACGCCCTGGTCTTGTCGGGAATAATTTCGCGGGAAGAAAGTCCCGCCTGCCACCAACGGCAGCCCGAAAATATACGGTATGTCCTCCCCACGAACGCTCCCCAGGCGCTGCAATGAGATTCCCACTGAGAGAATCGGAGCCGTGGAGCATCCAAACTCCGTAATCGATAATTATACGGCTGAAACTACGTACATTTATAGGCGCGAGATATTATACTATTTACTACACGCGCAATTTGAGTAATTCGTAATTCATGTCAATTAAATTATCAACAGCTATTGTTCGGCGATTGTTTTATTTAATTAACCAAAACAGAATATCAGTTAATCATTGATAGCTAATTTTAGTGTTAATTAATAGAACCGTGACGATTAGCCAGAAATTGTTTCCCGACCCTTTGCAGAGTGCTGTACTGCAAATGCATAATTTCGACAGTTAAATTCTCTATCGGCTGCGTGAAATGGTTCCACGTATTATACCACTGATCCCTATTAGCACGCGTGAAACGCGTGTGGGAAAGAATACACGAGAAGAGTAAGAGAGATTGTGGCAGGCGGAAAACGCCGCGATTAACAATTCAAATAAATTCATCGCATTTGCATTCAGTGGTCTTGATATCGCTTTCTTATCTCTCTTCGGCGTAGTTTTTTTCACCTTTATTTCGTCTAATTCGCTCGTTTCTTTCTGTTTTATCGCGCGCTTGGTAAACCAGTGTGACGTTTTGATTGTGTTTGACAATATTTAAAGCGACAGAGTTAGTTGCGGTTACGTGAATGTATTAAGGGGATCCTAAAGTCATTTATTCGATTAGATGGGATTTATTTAATTCAATGGGATTTATACGTACGATTTACGTGTCATTGATACATTACTCTCACTATTCATCAATATTGCACACATATGTACCAATTTTCTAATCTTTCATATTAGGTACCTAAGCTTAATTCTAAGAACTTAACATTGTTTGTTCATGTAATCCCTAATCCAAGATTGTTTTATACAAAGTATCAAACTTGTATTATATATAAAGCAAATATTGTTACAAATTGGCGCCATCTAAATAGAACAAATCATAATAACGTTAGAATGATATTAAAAATGAATCGGAAAATATTGAAAAATGACTTTTAATGATCATTTTGGAGTCATTTTTACATCATTTTGATACCAATAGAAATATAATATTGATAATAAAATTGTAATTTTCCAATTTTTTTTATATAAAGTCAATCAGTTTAGACCGTTTTTATTTTAATTGTAAAAGAGAATTTTTAAATCTCTTTTAAGTATAAAGGCAATTAAAAAAATATTTTTGAAAAATAATCGATACAAGACGGCTTCAGGATATATTTCTTTTCGAGGACGAATCTTTATAGGATAAGGACGAATCTTTCGCTTCGCACTTAATTAAATCCTTTTTGTACAAATGTGACGGGGGGAAGGGGGGAGGGGCGGGGAAGGAAGAAAGTAACGTTGATGCTTTAAATCGCTGTTAACTACACGACCACCTACACTCTCTCGCCGAGTAGGATTAACCAGCTTTTGGAGACCAATTTGACGTACACCGTCTAACGCTGACTTTTATTATTTCTACGGGCGATTTTCTAACCCCTGAGAAGATAATATCGCGAGGAAGATAATACATCTCCGCATCGGAGATAATTCGTTTTCTTGAATATCTACAAACACGCCATACGAAATTTCTCAAGCTCTCTATGATTCTCCTTTTCCCTTTAAATTGAAAACGTCAATCTGTTTCCCGTCATCGTGAGTTTAACGCGCCGCTTGGCAGCGCGCGACCTTACAAATTGGCCGATATAACAATTTCTTTCTTGTCCTCCCGATATTATTATGTCAAGCATGACAAATCCCCGTCATTCCCGAGACAAAATGCGAACACGGTGCGCGCGGGTCGCTCGAGGCGTTTTATTAAATCAGTGTCTTCATCGTGAAGTCATGGCCAGCGGTTACCAGCCGGGTATGGATCGAATGCGACGCAGAGTGAGACGGATGAGAATGTAGGACCGAGAGAGTGTGTGTCAGGCAGGGGTTGAACGGGTTGCTTCCTTAGCTGAAAGTGCCGGTAGACTACTAGGTGTCGAGGGCGAACGTTAGTCTCTCTTCGGGATGTCAAGTTAATGGAGTTAACTCAGACTTAAGCAGCGTCTTTACCTCTTCTACTCACTCGCTTCACCTTTCACCGTGTTAGTAGCGTGCAATAGCTGTGTTAGCAGGGTGGACGATATCGTTTTACGATAGAGAAAAATCGACGCCTCGAGATACCGCGGATATTCCTGTCGATCGACAACGCTAAGTTACGTGATTTCTTGCTATCTTCGCGCACATTTCTCTCGGAAATCTCTTACGCCTCGGAAATTTTCTTAAAGTTGGCTATTACTTAAAAAAAAAAGTTATATTGTGAAATTCCGGTATTTAAGAATAAAATTATTACAATCCCCCGTGATAAAATTTCTTCGCACCGAGAAACATTGTCTTGCAAAGTTCCTCGGAGCGATATCTTACCTGCACGTAGCCGCTGTCCTTGGACTGATGATTGAAGTGATAAAAATACGTCTTGGCGCCCCGCCTGGCGTGGTAGAAAGCGATTCTCATGAGCGGCGCGACCGTGTGACCATCGCTCAATGCCTCCATGGTCGAGTCTCGTATTATGATGGGATGAAGTACCGGCTTATCCCAGTCCGTGTACTCGTTCCTCACCGCCGAGAAAATCTCATTCAGATGGTAGATGTAGGCGTTGCGGATGAAGGTGCGAAGGATGCGATTCCGGTGATCCTCTTCAAAGCCGAATTGTATGTCGTTGTTGTTGAAGTCAAGATTCGACTCGGTCGTGGAAACGCCTAGAATCAGCGGCACTTTGATGAATGCGTCGCTCGCACGCTCCATATCCAGACCCGGATCAGGATTGTTTTGGTCCACCGGTAAACCGGGCCCGATACGGGGTACAAATCTGGTGGAATAAAACAACAAAATCAGATCCATCACTCGTTATGGCAAACGATATTATAAATTGATATAATAAGGGTATTAAATCAATAAAGCGAGAGCTATTAATCCACCACGATCTGACAGTAATCCGATAATTCAGTGTACGTGCATGTGATTATCCTTGCAATTAGTATCGCAGATTCATTTCAATTTCGTGATAAATATACTGATAAATGCACTCGCATAACCTAGGTTAACGTCCTGTGAACGTCATCGTTAATATCTAATAAAACAATGCAAGTGTTGACAGAATTCAATTTAAGACCCAGCAATTTTCTAGGTTCTCGATTTTTGATTGCGTAAATGTTCACGTGGCAATTTATAACACTACAAGATTTTTAAATATCGCCAGTGCAGTTTCGACAACTCATGACGATTTATCATAAGTCATCGCAGCCATGGACTCATGAAATTGTTATAAATTTGTAACACAGTAATTGCTGCTGTGTGTTAGTTAGATGTTATTTTTTTAACGAATCAATCATATCAATTGAATTTTTTACAATCCGGCATTTCCACTTTTCATCGAAATGCATAGCTTCATTGGATTCATTCAAGCGACGAATATGAATTCCGCGTATATTTTATATATATATATCAGGATGTCTCGAAAATCATGAATCGAAATACTGCAATGAGAAAGTTATAAAAAATTAAGTAAAAAAAGTTATTTGTAAATTTTTTTAAGCAATAGTTTGTGAAATAACAATTAATTAAGTAATTTAAATATAGATAAAATTACGGACTAAATACTAAAGTGTGTGTTTACTAATACGCACGTGCGATTCATGAATAGGCTGTCTAATGTAATCTATAATTGGCTAAATTTAAATCTGATATCTGAACAACTATTGTTTCAAATAAAAATGTACACATAACTTTTTTTACTTAATTTTTTGAAAACTTTCTTGCTATTGGCATTTATTTAATTTACAAATTTCGGGGACACCCTGTATATGCATGTATGTGTATGTACGTGTGTCGCATAAATGGGACGAGGTAATATTTATTACATCGATATGCTGTCATAAATAAAAAGATGAAAAAGAAGAGTATCGATATTTTCCATCTGTTCCATTTCGCAAATATATTTCATTATTTCAATTTTCCTTTGACATTGTTGCCAAATGTAGACCTAACCATCCAAGAGAAGGAGAGTGAATATTCTTCAACACTTCGCTTGTGTCTAAGCGCTTACCTGATTTCCGGTAATTGCACGTCCATAAGGGTCTTCAACGGTACTCCTCGGAGGCAGTCAGCTATGTCTTCGTCACCTTCGGTCGAGCAGCCCATCTGTTCGCCGATCTTCGCCCTGATATCGTTCGGGTCGTGCACTGAGGCCCAGGGACTTAGTGCCGAGCCGCTGGATAATACCACACGGTGAAATAATCCTATGGAAGAATAGATGGTTTGAGGCACGCAGGAGCGACTTATAAGCACGCGGAGATCCCCTTTGTCCGATGCTAAGCCCGTCGTAACTCGTATATATCGAATAGCGAATACGGCAGGATATCGTCAGCTTCCGGCTGATCGAGCGGAAGCGATGAACCCGACGAGAGTTATCCCAAATGGTTATTATCCTCGCATGGATAATTAGAAGCGGACGTAAATATAATCGCGCCACGTCGGGGTTTGTTTTCCGCGCGAATCGAAAATCCGGCGAATTAATCGAACGCGCGATTATCGGACGATTAAAAACTGTTACACGACGGAGTTGCAGTTGAATTAGTAGTTACGAGAAGCGGAAAACACGTTGAATAATTTTCAATATCCGATCGGCATACAGGAAGAAATTTTCTAGGCAGCGCAATTAATATCGCACGTCATTCCAGCGGCCGCTTGGTAACGTTAAAACGTAGAAAATCACGCCTTCGTGGAAAATTCATGCTAATTGAAAAGGATATTGCAGAACTTAATTAATCTCGCTTTTAACGAGCTGAATTTTATGACGTAACGCAACGGAACGTTTCCAAGCGATGCGTTAATATCGCGTTTGATAGTATCTTTAGCTCGTATTCCGATTACGAACCGGAAAATCATATTCGCCGGCAAACATTTATGCTGACGCTAAAGTCGTTTATCGAACGTCACTGGTTTCTTTATGAAAATCGCTGTTTCGAATACAAACATCGCGCGCGCGTAGAATGTGATGCTCGTCCTATAGCGAAAAGAAATATTAGGCAATATGTGTCCAACATAAACATTCGCGTATCGTTGATGCGTAGTGCAAATATTTGTATTTTATGACTTTACACGCCCGACATTCGTGCGTACTCGTTTAATTTCTCGCAAGTGACATTCATCTGATATAGCAAATCGCCGGGCCGAGCAACGTTAGCGGATATATTTATTATCAACGTTTATTATCCACGATTTTCTTCGTTAGAGCGAAAAGTTTTCGATTAAACAAAAGCAGAGACTAGTCTGATTTTTCCGAAATTTTGTTCTATATTGGAGAACCATTGCAATCACAGCTCCAATTTTGCAATACGTGAAATTCCTGATTTCTTCCTCTTCGTAAATGTATCATAAATATATTACTATCTACGAAATATTGTTATCACCTCATTGGCATTCATAGAAGCCGAATAAGGCGCCAAAGATATTCCTTCGCCAACTACTTAGAAAACGTCGCATCTCATTATATTAAATTTGTTCGTTGCGGTGCTATTTTAAAACGGCGAACAGCGGATGCGTTTAACGAAGAATTTCTGCTGCCAACAAGCCGTAAAAAAACCGGAAAAAAATCGCGAAAGAAAAGAGCGACGATGTAAGAAGACGCACGGTGGAGATCCTTCTCATTTTCATTCATACGATCGCAGTTCCATTTCTGAGACGAACACATTCGGAAAGGATGTGCGCGCATACGCAGTGACCCGAAGTACCCCTTTTGGTTGCTTTATCGCTATTATTATTATTAAGAGATGCCGCCTGATGCGCACTATCCACCCCTCTGGAGCGTTGCCAATGCCGCGATACGTTTGCGGATGAGCCGGAAGGAAAATACGGATAATCCATCGCCGGTAGATCCCACAGCTAATCTTTTAAGGGGATCCTAAACTGAAGACCGAACTCCGATGGGATCACTGTTTTACAGATTTAATGGAACTTACACACGTACGATTTACGTGACATCGATGCATCACTACTGCATTAATATCATACGTGTACATTGGAAGAAATTATACAGTTCAATAAATAATTTTTGTTGGAATAGTTTGAAACAAATATTTACTAAATGTAAATATTACTAAATGTATATCTATTTGATATAAAAACATGAATTTGATTTAACTATCACATTTTTGTTATCGAATAAATATTTATTATAAGTAAAAATTTGTTTAGAATTATTCGAAGAAATATATTAAGATTTAATAAATTTCTTTTTCAGCATGAATTTTCAAATTAGGTGTTAAGTTTAAAAACTTGACGTTGTTTCTTCATGTATTTTACTAGTTTTCAGACTCCAATTTCGTAAGTACAGATTGCAGAGCTTTTATTAAGCAAATGTTGTCACGACTTGACAGTTTTAGACGCCATATTGGACTAAAAAATGTTTGATTAAAAACATGTTTTCAAAACATGTTTTCATTCTCAGCATAAATTCCACCTATCAGATTAGTATTAATGCATAATAATACTTTAATTCTTGGAAAAGAGTTTCCAAATCTATAAAAGTGATACATGAAATCTTTTATAAAAATTATTGCAACGTTTAATCAGGGAAAAAGACGACTTTAGGATTCCCTTTAAGCGCGAAATGTTCCATCTGATTTTCAGTAGTTATCGTCTTCTTCGAAATTCTACAATTCATGATTCGAATATCTGCACTTCCTTCCCGATTGCTTCGTGTAGCGACTGGCGCTGGGACCAATTATTCCGATCGTGCAATAGTCCCTCCGTACCAGATACGACGCGGAACGTCCATTTCGCTGTTCGACGTCGTTTTCGGTCGACATCGACCGTGTATCGTGTGGCTTGATAATAGACATCGGGCTGTGTTACTTCCCTTATTTCTGTGAGGCACGTTCACGCAGGGATCACGGCTACGAGAAACTCGATTTATTCGCTTTGATAGCATCACGTCGTTCTCCACAATCGCGGATTGACTATTGTACGTTGATTCGTGCGCGCTGTTATTCGTGATAGAAGATCGCTTCAATCAAAGCCTCCCCTATCTTCATGATTTTATAATAGCAATGTCATTGAATTTTTTTCCTCTTAAAAAAATCTCCTTTATCACATTATCTCGAATTGTGTCTTTATTCTTTTAATCTCAGATATACGCTTTTATTTATTGTCGACTAAAAGAAACGAAGTGCGTTTACCGCCTGCAAAATAAACGACTCACCTCCGTGGATTCTGACTCCTTTTCGCCTCACAATTACTCCATTTTTCACCTCGTCCAGTGCTATTGTCGGCTTGTACTTTGGAAACGTATATTAATAAATGTTGCGGAAGAAATACGGTCGCCATTTCTATAAAGGGGCGAAGAGCCGGTCAGTGACCACCGCTCCTTCCATCGCGCAGACGACATTAGCGTCGCCAGGGTTAACGCCCTTAAACTGTCACGTTAAACCACGATATTTCACCTAGTGCCCTGCCCTCGTCCGCGCTTTCTCCCGCCCTCATCGTTTCGCGACTAGCCTCGTTTCGCCAGCCAGCTACCATAATTCCTCCACAATGTCATGTCCACGATACGAGAGTGTCGCGTCGTGTCGCGTCGCGACACGTCGATGAAATTTCGACGCATCGGGGGTGCCAGCCCATTTGGTGGTTACTCGATCTCCTTCACGTCTCTCATCATGGTGCAATCATCGAGAATTCGCCTCGTTCATCAGCTCGGCGACGCCCGGCGTCGTGGCGCCGGTTGAAGAGAACCTAGCAAATTGACAACGGTGTCTTTCTCGTGCTTCTTGATAACGAGAATAATGAGGTTTCTCTCGGTGAATGCGATGAAACAGACCGCTGGGAGAGGAAAAAAAACGAGAGGCGGCGGAAATTGTATACTTTTCGTTAGCGAAGCGGCGAAAGATTAAAGGCAAACAAGAAACAACGGTGCGTGATGATAATCAGACCGGCTTACATCCGGAGATGGATTTTCTCGGAATGAGCGTCGAGCAACTGGCTGGCTGATCGTCATTCAGAAACGCGGTACATCACACGAGTGATCAATCGAGATTTCTCAATGGTTTGTATATTTCCTCACATAGTTATATTCTGTAATTTCCATTCGAACTTTTGTTGGATATCACCCAGTTGAATGCCGGAGGTGTCTCTCTTCGAGATTTAGAATTCTACCACAAATAAGACTAAATCACATTCTCTTTAAATCTGAAATAATGAATATTGCTGACATTATTAGTTTTAAGTATGTCAATAGGTGATCAGTGAAATTCAACTGAAAAAGAAAGTATCAAGTTTGCAAATTTAATTATTATATAATTAAAATGCTGAAAAGGAAAAGAAATTTGAGCATTATTATGATTAAAATAGATATTTTTGCACGTCAGTTTTAATACCATATATATTGAATTTATATTGTTACTAAAGCAAAATTAAAGATTGCGCATTTCATTAATTTTTTTAGTTAAATTTCATTAAATTCACTGATTATTCATTGATATTGAGACTAATAATTAATATCCTGATTCAGATTTAGAAAGTTTAAATAAATTTTTAATCATTTGATCATAAAAGACATCCTATCGTACATAGTACATAAATGCACATCGCTAATTTTTATGGAAAAATGGATTTCGTTCGATCCGAGCTTTCCAATCGCAAACGATGGAGGATTTTGCGCAAAATGCCACTATGTGGACAAAGTTAGTAGTTATGAGCGCGAATGATTTTTATTTTTTTAAAAGGTTTGATTTTCCAGCGTTCGTTAAATGGGATAAAAAAATAATAAATTAAAAAGACGTATTTGTTCCTGGCCGATAGTTTTACTCTGATATTTCACTGGGGTTGGAAAAAATTTGACGTTCATCATGCGCGCGGATTACGTGATATTCATGCATCGACAATATCGATACCTTTTACGAGGAAAAGCATTAGCATCGACGATGTCCATTTGCAGACGTTAAGTCATCCAAAAACCATAACTTTATTCGTAAAAATATTATTTTCTCTAGACAGGAGAAAGATGAAGGCGTTTATTCTTACTGAAAAAAGAAGAAAAAGAGAGAGAGAGAGAGAGAGAGAGAGAGAGAGAGAGAGAGAGAAGATAGAGGAAATATTGTTCGTTGGTTCTATGGAAGCAACGTGAATTTTCATCCAATTCAGAAGAATCTTATTTGGTTGGGATGTAAATTATACTTTGAAAGGAAGCGACGCAAAATACGGCAGTTCTAATTTATTTTCTTCGTTCTCAGGGAGTGCAAAA